GGGCCCAGCAAAACCACAGTCGACTACATAGGAGTCCAGCGACATAGCCATTACGCTAACTGCTGGTCCCTCTGGTCAAATTTTTTTCAAAAATCGTAAAGTAAAATAATTCTTTAAAAATTAAAAAGAAAATACACAATCTAGAATAGATTATCTCACCTTGCATGATGCTGACATCTGGGACTAGGTCCTATCTTGCAGTTGTCCTGTGTGTCCTAAGGTCTTGAGCAGCATCCCTGGCCTCTACTCATTTGAGTCAGCAGCATCCTCTCCATTGTAGCAACAAAATAAGTCTCTAGGGATCAGCAGATGGCATAATGGTTGCGTGCTGAACTCTCACATAATTAACCACAGTTCGAGTCCTGGACCTAGTGGCTTAAACTCAAGCCTGGTGCATGTGTGTGCATGCCCAAAATCCCGAGAAGAAAATGGAGGAGATGGGATTGCAGCATGGCCATCCCCCCTGGGGGTGTATTCTTTCTGTCGCTTTCTCTGGCAAGCACATGTGCCCTATAACAAAAGTCTCTCAAAAAAAAAAGTCTCTAGACATTGTCTGATGTCCTCTGGAGGGCAGAACCCCCCAAGATCAAAAACCACTGATCTACAAGTCCCCATTGAGTATTTCCTGTTAGAAATAAAGATTTTCTTTTTGAAGCAGAATAATACTCTCAGACAAGAATAATTCTCTAGAATAATTCTTTCAGGAGGTTCAGCTTTATGGAGTCTGCCTTCAGCAGGCTATGTACAGGTGTGGCCCAGTAAAGAATTACACACATCTCTGGTTTTGTTCCTTAACTGGAAAGGTGATGGAGTACTGGGGAATTGATTGCCATGTTCCTCTCCCCCCAAAAAAAATGGGTGGAGGCCTGAAGATGGAGGGAAGGGAAGGAGGAAATGGCCAAGAGGACATTCATAAAGAGGCACACACATTCCCATAATGCTCTTGTCGGAGCCATCAGTGCCGCTTTCAGAGCTATGCTGTTCCAGCTTCACACAGCCACGGGAGGGGACAGCGTCCTGCCTCTTAGAAATGAGTCTGGTAGCTTGTATCATAGGCACCTCGGGCTGGTGCAACAAATAGTGTAATTGGGTGGCTTTCACGCCAAAATTCTCCATGGTTCTGGAGGCTGGGAAGTCCAAGATCACAGTGTTGGCAGATTCGTCATCAGATGAGGTCCTGCTCTTGGTTCATACACAGCCGTCCTTTTGCTGTGTCCCCACGAGGCAGAAAGGGCAAGAGCACTCCCTGGGGTCCCTTTTATATGAGCACTAATCCTGTTAGTAAGGGCTCCACCCTCATAACCTTATCATCTCCCACAGGCCCCACTTCCTAATACCATCATACTGGGGATTAGGGCTTCCATAGCAATTTGGAGGTGACACAGACGTTCAGTCCAGAGTGGCTTGTTACACAGATGACTGAGGAGGTACTTCACTGTCTCACCTGAAGTTGTCTAATCACCAGAGAACTCCAGGTGGTTGCTGCCCATTCCTGTGAACCTTGGAACCACACAGTCTCAGGCAGGCTTGCTAACAGGGAGCCTCTCAAAGCCAGAGCACTTCCAGTGTCGCGCTCCTGAGACTACGCAGCAACTGGTCTAAGGGATGTGTGTGCAGTGACTTTGGAAATCATCTGATGTTTGGGATGGGAGGGCAAGGTGGCCAAGGGACTGAGACTTGGGAGATTGGATTACTCCAATAATTAGGGCTTTTCAAGGCGAGGTGGTAAAGGAAGTTGTGTTTCTAGGGACCTGGCCCTACCCTACCAGCCTGGCTTTCCTTAACTTAATACTCATAACACAGAGATTTGACAGCTGAAGAAACTGATTGACTTTGAGACATTCACTAACTTACAGATATATAGATAGGTATATTTATATTTATTGGATATATGTATAGATATATCTCTATAGATATAGTTCACATGTACACATAAACTTCATAAATTGCTATATATGACCAGATACAGGCTTATAAAAAGAGTTTATTTTCTGGCCCAGCAGGTGGCATGGTGGTTAAGGAGCTGAACTCCCATATGGCTGATCACAGTTCGAGTTCTAGACCTGGAGGCTTGCTTTCTCATCTCTGTCTCTTTCTCTCAAATGCCCTGCAGCAAATTAAAACATAATAATAGTGATAAATAAAAATAAAATGATTCTTAAACTGAGCCCAATAAAACCCCAAACTTTTAAAAAACGTAATTTCTTTTTTCTGGTTGGCTTATTCCTTCTCCATTCTGGGGTAGCCGTAGATAATTATTTCCTGGTAGCATTAGATAGAATATTATACTAATAGATTATGGGTGTTTACTTATTTATTTTGAGAAGTTTTTGCTATATGGCGCATGTGCTCACCAGAAAGACATAGAGATGGAAAGCGAGAAATCACCCCCAGGGGGGATGGCCATGCTGCAATCCTTTCTCCATTCTCCTCTCTGGATCTTGGGCATGCATGCACATGCACCCGGCGTGAGTTTAAGCCACCAGGTCCGGGACTCGAACGCAGTCAGCTACATGGGAGTTCAGCGACATAGCCAATATGCTAACTATTGGTCCCTAGATTGTAGGTATTTAAATGACAAGTCCTGTCCTGTTTCTTTCTCTCTCTCTCTTTTTTAAGAATTATTTTATTTAACTTTCTTTATCCATTTCTTTATTTATTTTAATTTGGCCAGAGAGGGATAGAGTGAGAGAAAGTTAGAATGCAGGCTGCCAGGTCTGGGATTCGAACCATGGTTGGCCATGTGGGAGTTCAGAACCTTAACCACCCCACCACCTGCCAGCCCCTCTTTCTCTTTATTGATTGGAATTTTGGCCCAGTTGATAAAGAGCTGTATGGTTATGCTGGATGCTGGGGCCACTACTGCCAGTTCTTTGGTATTCCTGCTTTGCTGTTTCCAGGGTTGGCTGACAGTTGACTTCTTTTTTCTCCAGGTAAACAGATTCAGGTGTTATCGGGCCACCTGCAGTGGGTTTACTGCTGCTCCATCTCCCCGGACTGTAGCATGCTGTGCTCTGCAGCTGGAGAGAAGTCGGTGAGTCTCCAAAGCCAAGCGTCATCTCCTTTCTAGCTTTATAGTGCAGTGACACTTGGAGGTCTGAAGCATCAGCCTTGTATGTTTGAGGGTAAATAAACCTGTGTCCTCAAAGCCCATCTGCAGATTGGCTCCAACAGAAGGCACACCGTGGGCTGTGGCTACTCCTGCAGGGCTCCCTTTTGATTTGCTCTTGGACAAGGACCAGGAGGTAGTATTTGGAAGTGGATCTCTCATGACTAGAGGGCTGGTTTTTTTTTGCAAAATGGGAAAGGCACTGCTTTTTTTTTTTTAAAGAATTACTTTTACTATTTTCATTATTTTTTAATAATGATTTGTTACAGGGCATATGCGAGAGAGAGAGATAAGAGGGGAAGTGGAAAAACAAGCCTCCAGGTCCAGGACTAGAACTCCTGTCAGCCATGTGGGAGTCTCGCGCCCTAACCATCACACCACCTGCTAGTCCCAAGGCACTGCTTTTTAAATTTCTTCTCCCCTGGAGTCTTAAGTTTCAACTCACATGCGGATCCAAATTTCAGCTATCCTTCTGATTAGGATTTCTAATTCAAATCACGAAGTCAGATACTTGTTGAATTTTGTCCTGAAATTCTGCATTTTTTTAAAAGAAGAGTTGGGGAAAAAAAAGAAAAAAAGGGCGGCAGGGATCAACAGTTAGCATAATGGCTATGTTGCTGGACTCCCATGTAGTTGACTGCAGTTCAAGTCCCAGACCTGGTGGCTTAAACTCACGCCGGGCCTGTGTGTGTGCATGCCCAAGATCCCAAGAGGAGAATGGAGGAGAAGGGATTGTGATGTGGCCATCCCCCTTGGGGGCTGGGTTTTCACTTTCTCTCTCTGTCTCTCTGGCAAGCGCACATGCCCTATAGCAAAAACCTTTCCAAAAAAAAAAAAAAAGAGTTGGCCTCATAGCCCGATGGTGGAGGAGGGAGTCAATCTGACACGGCTGACCACTGTCCAATTGCCAGCTCTAGTGGCTTGAAAAACACTGGGTGCATGTGTGTGCATGCCCCAGATCACACTGAGGTAGAGAAAGGGAAAAGGGATTGTCTGGTGAAGATGCTTTCTCTTTCTCTCTCTAGCAAGTGCATGTGCCTTGTTACAATTTGAAGGAAAAAAAAAAAAAGTATTAGAAACCCAGGATATTTGGGAACAGTTTGTTTGAATTTCATGCTTGCATTGAGCCATCTGCAATGACTGACAGGAAAGTTATGAGTTCACTGCTGGGTACAACCTAAGTGGTTAATCATTCTTTTGAGGTTTGGAACTATGTGAAAGCAACAATTTTCTTAAAGGAAAGAAAATAAAAGCCAGTCTTTAATGATTGTCAGAAAAGTTTTAAAGTGATAAATTAGGTCAGAGGTAGTCTTGGGACAGATTTCCATGGTTCCATGAGCTCATGTGTGTGTGTGTGCACGAGAGAGAGAGAGAGAGAGGTGGGGATATTGTAAAACGGCTTGGCAGGTTGCCGCTGCTTTGCAGATGGCCCTGGAATTTACTTTTCACCCCTGCTTTTTGCTTTGTTTTCTTTGTTTTTTGTTTGTTTGTTTGTGTTGTTTATTATAGAAGACCACTCTCCATGGAGCCTAGTGAGGCTGCTGCAGCCCCGGTCTTCCAATCCTCCAGCTTCCCAGGGTCCTGGGCATGCATGTGCGTGCCTGGTAGATTTCAGGCCAGCCAGGCTGGGGACTTGAACCATTCAGTGTTGTGACTTCCAGCTCCCCAGTCCAGTATGCTACCAACTGTGACATGCAGTTTGGACTCTATTTTTGATTTTAAGTGGAATAAGATAGCACTTGGCTTAAGTCTGTCTCCATCAGCATGTACTACCTTGTTAGAAAACAGGGTTTTGGAAGCAGAACTCAGAACTTCTTTGGGTCTCTTTCAGCCAGCAGTCTTCCTAGGGATCATCTGGTTTATGTTCTATCAAAGTGAGTCCCTGGAGCAGGTCCCTTGGTTAAATGTCTCAAGAATTCAGTTATGGGGATCAGCAGGTGACGTGGTTGAGGCACTGGACACTCCCACCTGACCAACCACAGTTCAAGTCCTGGACCTATTGGCTTGCTGTCTCACTTTCCCTCACTCTCTCTCTCTCTCTGGCCAAATTAAAAATAAATGAATGAATAAATAAAATAATTTTTAAAAACGAATTTAGTTCCTAGGCAGCAGGTGGTATAGTGGTTAAGATGCTGGTTCTCCCATGGCCAACTCTGGTTCAAGTCTGGGACCCAGCGACTTGAAACTAGGAGCATGTGCATGCATACCCAAAATCCAAAGGAGAGTGGAGGAAAGGAATTATGGCATGGCCATCCCCCTCTGGGGGATGATTTCTCACTTTTCTCTCTGTTTCCAGCAATTGCATCTGTTCTATGGCAAATACGTAATAATAATAATAATAATAATCAGCTCTACTTAATTTAAACCTGTGGTAAGTTCTGGAAGAGCTATAGAAAAGGGGAGTGGAGAATTCAGCTTTCCCTGGCTGCTAGGCCCGAGGAGGGGATGCTGTACTTGCCACTGGCTCTGGAATCCTGAACACTTTCTGTCCTAACCAGACCCTGTTACTTTCCATAGGTCTTTCTGTGGAGCATGCGGTCCTACACATTAATCCGGAAGTTAGAGGGCCACCAAAGCAGTGTTGTATCTTGTGACTTCTCTCCTGACTCTGCCTTGCTCGTCACGGCGTCTTATGATACCAACGTGATTATGTGGGACCCCTACACTGGCGAAAGGCTGAGGTCACTGCAGTAAGGACTGAATCCCCCCTATTACTTTCTAGCGGGTGACTAATGGGAAACCAGCTGGGATTCAATGTGTCCCTCTTCCAGTCTGGGATACGCGAATGGACAACCTGGATAAATAGTATAGTCAGGGCTTCTCTGAGGCGCTGGAGTGCATGCAAGAGTTTTTGCTGTCAAGCCTCCAAACCTAGGAGGCTGTGTGTACAATTTGGATTTGGCATTATGAAACCTCAAAGTGACTCTTTATTTCCACTTACTAATAACTGTAGTAACAAGTTCAGAACCATCCTCTTTTTGAAACTGTCATTTCTAAAGTGAATTTTCATGTTCTCACAAACTGGGTCTACTTTTTTCCTTTGTCACTGTCGTTTTTTGAAGCAAATAATAGGCAGTCCTATAATTATCATATATCTTAGTCGAAAAAAGAATTCGAGTTTGCACTGTGGCATTAAAGCAAACGCTGACCTACTTTACATAAGGAAATTAGCACAAGGAAGTGTTAGTAACCCTTCAACCCCTTCTCAGACTTTTCTAGTCTGAGAATCGCAGGGTTTTCCATAAGGGGCACAAGATAGCTCTTGAGCCTTCTCATACCCCGGGGTGGGGGGAGATGGAGCAGAGTGGCCAGGCCTACCATCCTGTTTCTTTCCTTCCCAGCCACACCCAGCTCGACCCCCCCATGGATGACAGTGATGTCCACATTAGCTCCTTGCGGTCTGTGTGCTTCTCTCCAGAAGGCTTGTTCCTTGCCACAGTGGCAGATGACAGGTAATAGCAATCTCTGTGTGGCCTCCGAGCAAATGCTTGCAAGTAATTACAGCATTACCCTCGTTATCTGGCCCAGGGTCCTGGGGGTCAGCTAATGTACCACTTCACCCACCACCACCCTCCCGCTCACTTTCTCTCTTGCAGACTCCTCAGGATCTGGGCCCTGGAACTGAAAACTCCGATTGCATTTGCTCCTATGACCAATGGCCTCTGCTGCACATTTTTTCCACATGGTGGAGTTATTGCCACAGGGTATGTATCTATTAGCTGAACAGATGGGCAGCTGTTTCTGCTGAGTAGACCACGTAGCTCTGTAAAGAAAGAAGGCATCTAGAATTTTCTTGCCTGTGAGGAACACTTAAAGGAAATCCAAGATTATGTAAACTTCAGATATTCTGTTCTGTCATTACGGCATATCATTTTCCTTTTTTGTTTTTACTAGAAGGTGTGTTTGTGTTCACTAAAGAGAGAAAACAGTCCCCATGGGCAATGGCCATGGGCAATGGCCACACCATAATCCCTTTCCTATTCTCCTCCTGGGATTTTGGGCACGTACAATTGTGTGGTGGTTTCTAGCTGCTGGGTCCAGGACTCGAACTGCACAGTCAGCCATTTGAGATCCAACCACCTTAACCACCACACTATCAACTGGCCCTGTCATTTGCTCTTAATACTTAACCTAAATGTCATTGTAGATCTACAGCTCCTGCCACTTAATGGTCCAAGTCCATTAGGAAGCATAAATGAAGGTGCAGAGCAGATATGGGAACCCATGTACTGTACAGGTGACAGCTGTGGTTCTGTAGGTGGCATTCTTCCCTCTTAAATTTGCAGAGTCCGATTTAGAAAGCGCTATGCTGAGAGCACTTTGGCATCAGAAGCATTTTAAGTTCTTAGAATCTCTTCAGCAGCCTTAATTATTCAGCACCACAGCTTTTACATCCATTTCCATCCAGTTTCAGGGCTGCATTTCACACTCTGTATTCTCCCGTTTCAAGTGAAAGTAAAAATGTTACTGTCCTAGCAAAAGCACAGTACGTAACGGTCATGAAAAACTTCGCAGATTTTTTTTTTTGAATTGTTTGAATTTCATAATTCTTTGGCATCCAAAGTCATACTTTAATTTCATTTTCCCATGACCTTTTTGAAGTCCTCTTACATACTTCCAGAGTCTTCATGCAGCCCTGGCTTCTGTTTCATTTCAGGACAAGAGATGGCCACGTCCAGTTCTGGACAGCTCCTAGGGTCCTATCTTCACTGAAGCACTTATGCCGGAAAGCCCTGCGAAGTTTCCTGACGACCTACCAAGTCCTAGCACTGCCAATCCCCAAGAAAATGAAAGAATTTCTCACATACAGGACTTTTTAAACACTGCATACCTTGTTTTCTTTGTAGTGATAAAACTTCCTGGCAAAGGAGTAGCTGGAATAATGGGCCAAACATCTGGTCCTGGATTGAAATCGAATTTCTTTGGGATTGTGAATAGAATGTAGCATAACAGACCCCAGTGGACTAGCCATGGATTTTTTTTCTCCCATGGCATGTGAAAGTCAGTCTTAGATTCCACTCCATGGTGACAGAGCCTTACCTGAAACCTTCAATCCAGTCATGAACGGCATATGTTGAAGTCTCTAGTTGTTTTGATTCCAAGTGCAGTTATCCATGTTGTTGGAAGCAAAAGTAAACAGGCCTCCTGAGCCTCTCCTTAGTGGCAGAGAAGTGTATCTTCCCTAACCGGGGAAGTTGGACTTCCGCCTAGTCCCTCTCTCTTGTGTTGGGATACAGTGGTAGCAGTGTTGAGAGTTCTCTCCTGCCAGGGTCCCAGGGGCTTGAAGTTGGCTGTCCCTGCTCAGGTTCACCTCGGACTGGTGGGACAGTTTTCATGGAGCTGTTTGCTGTAGGTATTCATTTAGCTTAACTAAATGGCAAGTGAATCAAGGGTCGTGCTCCTGATAGAGACACTATTACTGGCTTTCTGTTGTTTGTGTAAGCCGTGGTGTGCATGTGCAGGAAATGACAAATTTGTGTGTCGGACTATACGAGGATGTTAACTCCTAAACTGCATGACTGATGGCTACTGAGTTGTCAGTTGCCATGTATTAGCATCATATTTATTTGTTATTTTCTCAACAGATGTTAAGGTACAACTGTTTTTCTCGATGGTTATCTAAAGACCATAGTGCTTACATTGAACAGTTGTGAAGATGTGTCTTAATTGTGTGAAGAATTGGTGTGGTCATGTCATCTTTCGGCTGATTCTCGTATGTATTAATACAAGATCTATCTGTGCTGCTTAACCTCATTGGATTAATCAGCCAGTTTCAACTCTCCCCATAAACAAAAATAGCTCCTTAAAAGTACTGTTTTCCTTCAGTGGCATGTAGTTATCTAATCCAGACACCTCATTCTAACAAAATCTGCCTTAGGAAAATTTAATATATTTTAAATTATTTAAAGGAAATGTCAACATCTTATTCTTTTAGCTTTCTTAATTGGTGCTTTATGGAGGCCAGTGTAACATTGTACAACTTCCTAAGAGAGTAGAGGAGTCCCCTCTACCAAACCTTTGTTGTGTGAAGAAAAAGTTTGTTTCCAAAGTGAGAGGCTTTCATTGAAGGAAAAAAAAAAAAAAAAAACAAAAAACAAAAAAAAGAGTTAAAAGCTTATGGCTCTTTTGTTTCATTTTTCCCATTAAAAAAAAAATAAATTACCTCTTAAAACAAGTAATAGGAGGGGAGCTGGAGTTTTTAATTTTATGGTTATTTTGAAATACTAAATACAGGGGCCAGCAAGTGGCATGGTGGTTAAGGTGCTGGACTCCCATGTGGCTGACCACGGTTCGAGTCT